ATCCCCAGATGATTCATCTACTAGTCCAAGGTCACACAGCCGGTAAATGTCACAACCAAGATTCAAACCCAGGGCAGTGTGGCTCTAGACTCAGCCACTGTGCTTGAGTACGTTCAATGAGCAGCCGCCGTGGGCCCGGCTCCTGGGGATAGAAAAATAAACAAAACTAGCAGGCATTGGTGACACGCTGTTTTAGTCACTACCACTTTATAACGTGCCTTAGTGTTTTATAGGGTAGCCTGCCCTGGAGGGGAAGGAAAGAAGGAAGGAAGGAAGGAAGGAAGACAATATTATTAACAAATATATATTTAAATACATAGTAAATAGTGTTAGGATTAGAATTACTAATAAATTATTAATTTCCTAAATAATACATATAATTGCAGCTAAGACTCAACTATGCTTTATCCTGACTTCCCTGAGGCCACCCAGACATCATTTTGGTGAATATATTTCGATTCCTTTCTTCTCATTCTTGCAATCATAGACACATCTGCTATATATATGTGTATATACCTCTCTGGGCCTCAGTTTACTAACTTGTAAGTGGGGATATTAATAGAACATACTCAGGGGCTTGGGACAGGGTGAGCTGAATCACATAAAATGCTTGGACGAGCGCTGTACCTACGATCGAACTTCCTGCAGTGTCGGACGTGCGGCGCGACTGATCCCTTGACGTGTGGCTTAGCCTGACTGAGAAACGAAAGTTATAATTTCATCTAAATGGATTTACATTTAAATGGCCACATGAGCCTAGTGGCTACTGTATTGGGCAACACAGACTGGAAATGATTCTTGGCAAATAGTAAGTGCTTAACAAATGCTAGGTAGACATATTATCCTGCTAAATTATCCTCCGAGAGAGCCAGTGTATACCCTGCCAGTAGCACGGAGGTCACCCCAGATATCCTGACAGCTGAATCTGATCGAGCCTCTCCCCATGCTCAAAACCCTCTATAGCTCCCTATTGCCTGCACGACAGTGCCTAGGATTGCCTAATCTCATTTAGATCACAACCCTCAGCACGTTCTGGAATGACTTTTCCTTGAGGGGATGTGGTTCTTTCTGGTTTTGGTCCACCTTCCCGGTAGACTGTGGTCTTGGGCGAGCGCAGACCAGATCCAGCACACAGTAGGTGCTTAATAACAAAAGGCTCCGTAATGCAGCCGCTACTCACCTCTGCATCCTCCTCCTCACCCAGCACTGCCATCTTCGCCGGTCGTTCCTCAACTGCTGCAAGGTCTCAAGCCTCTGAGTCTTTGCCTATGCTGTTCCTTCCACCTAGAAAACCCTTCCAGGCAAATTCTGATCCATTTTTCCAGCTTTCAGCCCAGCCTGGCCTTGTGTGCTCTGTAGGTGCCGGAACAAGGCTCTTTGTGTCTCTGAGCCTCAGTTTCCCCAACCGTACAAAGGGAGGAGTTATCTATACCATGAAGAGACGTGGTTTCTGCTAAGTGCCAGGCAGGGTATCAAGTAACCGGTTCACCATCAATTCTGAAAGGCTGCGCTTGGGTGTGGCCATTTCCACCTGTTCACCCCCCACCCCAGGCCCTCCCCTGGAGTGCAGCGTCGCCCACGCTGGGCCTCAGGATTTTATTTTTTGGAGGGACTTTGAGGCCTCCCCCAAGGTGGGCGGGGGGCTGCAGGCATGTTTTCCCCCCCTAGCCAAAGCCACATCCACCCTCCCCATTCATTCGTCGAAACCCTGAAACGCCATCCGAGGCCAGGCTCCTCTTCCCAGCCGACACCGTCACCCCCTTGTCCCGCGCCTGCCCCACCCACCTTGGGTCTGGCCCCTGTGGGGTCCGGCTGCTGACGGCAGCTCTGGCCTGTTTCCCTCCCGCCACCGCTTCCATGTGAAGCCTCAGCATAAACCGTCCCCTCTGGATGGCCAGAATCTCACCTTTCTTTCTTCCCTGGTGAGCTCATCCTTAGCTTTAAAGCCTCACCTCCTCAGGGACACCTTCCCCAGGGTCCTTGACAGACCCACTCAGAGACTGTCGCCCGCAACATTCCAATTAACAATCTCTTAGACCCAGGCGCGGAGGCTCATGCCTGTAATTCCAGCCACTCTGGAGGCCAAGGCGGGAGGATTGCTTGAGCCCAGGAGTTCGAGACCAGCCTGGACAACATAGCAAGATCCAACACCATATCTCTAAAAAAAATCTATTGTCTAAAAAGTGTTGGCGAGGGTGTAGGCAAATCTGAACCCTTGTGCACAGTGGCGGGGAAGCTAAAATGCGTGCAGTCACTGTGGAAGAGTCGGGCAGTTCCTCAAGGTTAAATATAGAGTCACCATTGGACCCAGCAATTCCATACCAAGGTCTATCCCTCAAGGAAATGAAAATATACACCCGTGTAAAAACGTGCACACGCATGTTCACAGCAGGATGATTCATAACCGCGAAGAGGTGGGAACAGCCGGTGTCACCAACGGATGAGTGGACACACGCCACGTGGACCATCCACGAAACTGAATATCACTCAGCCACAAAAAGGGACGAGGCTCTGACACAGGCCACAGTGTGGAAGGACCTTGAGGACGTCGTACTCAGTGAGAGACGCCAGACACAGAAGGACACACAGTGTGAGACTCCATTTATATGAAACGTCCAGAACAGGCAGAGCCACAGAGACGGGACGTGGATTTGTGGTCCCCAGGGGCTGGGGAGGGGGTGGGGAGTGACTGCTCATGGGGACGGGACTTCTTTCTGGGGTGATGAGAACGTTCTGGTATTAGGTAAAGGTGATAGTTGGACATCATTAATGCACCAAAGTCACTTTTAAACGGCTAAAATGGTAAATCTATGTGATGTGAATTTTCCTTCCATTTTTCAAAATTGTGCCATTATTGCATACTATCTCTGTCCTGCACTGGGCTGTCCCCACGAGGGCAGAGACAGAGCCATCTCAGTCACTGCCGTGTCCCTAGTAGCCAGCACAGTAGGTGTTCAATACACGTTTGTTGAATGAATAAATGAGCATATGAGAAAAAAACACTTCCTGTTTTCAACTTCTGGATTAACCAGACAGAATCCCAGAGAGCAGAACTGTAGACCTGCCTTCTTGGAATAGCCTCTCCTGCGTCCCCTAACCCTAAATCTGAATTTCTCTCCAGCCCGGGTGACCGATACGCTTGTTCTTTATTGACTAGTGAAGAAGGTAAGGGAAGAGTCAGCCCTTTAGCAAGTAAAACTTTTATTAAATAAATTTTTAGTTTTTTTTTTTTTTCAGACCAAAGAGAGGCGTTTTGGACGTTAAGACGACGCTGCTTCTCACCTGAAAACACGCAACAGTGACGAGGAACCTCTCCAGCCGCGGGAAATCTTCTTGGACACAAAACTCAAACCAAGTCAACTCAAAGGTCCAAGTTCTTTGTTTTTTTTTCTTTTCTCTGTGTGTGTGTGTGTGTGTTGTGTGTGTGTGTTGGTTTATCCGAAAAGTCAGTTTGCAAGTGGAAATTTCAAGAAATTACTCGTAGCAGAAATAAAGTACGTCATACAAATCACGCAGGTCTTCGAGGTGAAGTATAAAAATGGTATTTACAGCCGGTAAACATGGACCACGGGGACACGCGCAACTGCACACGGCCACGCACTCCCACGCGGGCCCGCGGGGACACGGCGGCGACCCCCACGAGGGCCCTTGGCACACGCTTGCACACGTAGACGCACGGGACACAGGCACGCGATCGAAGTGTCTTGGAACAATTATCAAACTCTGGAATCTCGAAACGATTGGTCGGAAGATTTTTTTTTTTTTTTTTTTGAGACAGAGCATTGTTTTGTTTGCCGAGCTGGAGTGAGTGCCGTGGCGTCAGCCTAGCTGACTTAAACCCTTAAGTCCCTGTGAATTCTCATTCTATGTATGCAAAAGGGAAGGCTTTTTTTTTTTCTTCTTTTTAAAAAAAATTTTTTTTGAGCTTATTAAGTTATCCGGGGCCTCCCTGGGCAGGACGCCCCACTGGACATCTGCACGAATCCGTGTGCTTCGACGTGGGTGTGTCGTGGACCGGGTCGCTTTACAGAGGCACCCCACAAAAATCCCCCCACCCCACCCCACTCCCGACTAGGAGTCAAGAATCCACTGTGGTTTGATTTTTTTTTCCCCTATTTTTTTTTCTTCTCTTTTCTTCTTTGTACCTGCTCAGAAAGACCAAAAGAAAAAAAAAAATCTCTGCAGAGGTATGAAGGTCGCTATCGAGTTCGCTGTCTCCGATAAAGGGGTGCTCGGCCAGTCCAGGTCAGGCTTGTCCAACGTGCTTGGCGATCTTGGTCACAAGACCTTAAATTCGAGGCTGGTGATTTGAAGGCAGGGACGATGGCTGCCTGCCCTTGGGAGGGGGCGCGGAGGGGCGGGGGGCTCCCCCGGCCCCTGTCTGCCCCCGACGGAAAGCTAAGGGCTATTGGTCACGTGAGTAAGGCCATGACTGAGGAGGGACGGGGGACGGAGAGGGCTTGGGGAAGCCAGAGGGTCTCTTTTGTGCCTGCATCCAGGGAGGCCCTGGGGACAAGGGGGTGGTTTCCGGAAGCTGCAGCTGGGACCAGGGACACTCAAACCGGCTGAGCCCAAAGCCCCTCAGGAGTCGGTGGCAGGGGGGGACCCAGAGTCCTGGAGGTATATCGTGTTGGCGAATTCCTGGTCTGATGTACCCGCGGGGAGGTCGGCAGGTGCCAGCCTCGGCCCTTCCTACGTCCCTGCCCAGCGACCGGCCCAGGGTCACCCTCTCTCGGATGGGAGGAAGTCGGCAAAGTTTGGTCCCATGATTTCCATACTCAAAAAATATATATACTGTCTCTAGCTCTATATATATACGCATATATATATATATAGGGAAAGTTGCCATTCAGTTTGGGGAAGCCACCGCGCTGGGGTGGGCAGGAGGGAGGAGATGTCCCCAAAGGGCACATGGGGTGGGGTGTGAGCCCCTCTGCCCCCAACTCAGGAGCCCCCTCCCTCCTCGAGGTGGCCTTCGGGGTGGGTGGCGTTTCACATTTTGGAGGGGCGGGGGGCACAAGGTTGGGAGGAGGGAGGGGAGGGCTGGTGTCCAAACCACGGTTGTAATTTATGGAAAAGTCCTGGATCGGTTGGAAGCGGGAGACCCTCCTGGGATGGGAAGGTCCCTCACCTGGGGGAGAAGGGGACGGGCGTTAGGGAACGACGGTGGCAGGACACACAGGCGGAGGACACCACCTCCCTGTCCTCCTCCGCCCCCCTCGCCCCAGCCAGGCTAGGCTCCAGCACCCCCATCTTTTCCAGAGAGCAAGAATCCCGGGGTTCAGAGGCCAAAAACAGAAGCTTTGAAGGGACTTAAGGATGTCGCCGCTGAGCCTGTGTCCTTGGCATTTGGGGACACATATTTAAGCTAAGTTTCTGCCTCTCCCCCTACCCCCACCCCATTTCCATCCATTCACGGCTGGGTCCCCAAGTGCCGGCAACGGTGCCCGGCACAAAGTAGGTGCTCAGTAAAGATGCGCAGGCCGGGAGGTAACAGGGAGTGAACGGGTCGCAGGCAGCGGCCTCGGGTTCTGCTTCGGGCTGGCGGTTTCTGCGGGCGCCTTCCGTGCAGCTAAACACACGCAGATCTGTGTGCTGCCGACCCAGGGGGTGTGAGCGGGACCGACAGCCTCTAACTGAGCACCTACTTGTGCCAGACCCCGACCTGAGGTGAGGCTCTTGGAGGGCGGCGGCGATGGTGATTTTTAAGAACAGAAAAAAAAAATCAAAACGAATTATCCAGAGCTCTTTAGGGGGTGGGTTCTGGGCTCAGCTGTGAAAACACCCCCATCCCCTGGCGGGGGGGTCCTTCCTGCAGCCTCTGGGAGACAACTTTCATGAGCCCATTTTACAGAAGAGGGTCGTCGAGGTTTGGGGTGGGTTATAAGTTTCCATGATGGCCCCGTGAGGTGCACTGTTCATCCCCCCAAAGCAGTTGTTGGGGAAGCTGTTTGCCCTGATGGTCAAATACACTCTCGGGGTGGGGGCGGCTCTTGGGTTTGTTTTGTGTGTGGTTTTTTTTGCACAATAGTGGCCGGGCACACATCCCACTTTCTACCAACCCATCGGTGGGCCCAGCTGGTCGGCCCCCTGGGGGGCCCGGTGGGGCAGATGGCGAGACGGGATGCTGTCAGGGCCCACTGGACCAGGCCCTGGGCACCGTTCCCACATCCCAACTCCCCAGCCCGAATTCCAAGCCAAGCTGGGCATTTTGGGGTCCAACCTTAGGGCCCAGGATCTGGGGTGGGCATTTAACGTTGTCCTCTGGTTTGGGGCTTTTCAGCAGGGAGAACAGTTTCATGGGACAGAAAAGAAGCCCCTCCCAACCACGCCCCCCACCCCAGACCAAACCTGGCCTCGCGGGTGAACTCCTATTCATCCTGCAAAGCCTTCTCAAGGAAGGATTCCCACCCTGGCTCCTCCCTCCCCACCCAACTCCTGCCCCTGGTTCCAGCCCCGACCACAGGGTATGGAGGTGTCTTCGTCCAGCTCTGTCCCCACCAACCCAGCCTGGGGGCTTCTCGGAGCCTCCTGCAGCATCGCCCCACCTGGGGAGGGTTCGGAGAATGAAGGGGAGGGGTCGCGGGTGAGAGCAGGGGGGGCGGGGGTGGGGCCGCCTGGCGGCTCACCTGGGCCAAGCCCACAGCTTTGGGGCGGCTGTGGGTGCGGTCAGTAGGGGTGTCCTGGATCCTTGGGCCGCTTGAGCTGCACTTTGAGCCTCTTCATGCCGATCTGGAAGCCGTTCATGGCCTGGATGGCTGTCTGCGCGCTGGCCGGGTTGTCAAAGCTCACGAAGCCTGCGGAGACCGGGTTGGACCTCGATGCCGGCACCGTGGGGGCGTCCTCCGCTCGCCTTACAGGGTCCTGGGCGGGGGCGTGTGCGCACGCGTGCACAGGCGGGGGCTTGTCAGAGGACACGCAGCAGCCCTGGCTTTGTTCTGATACCTCTGGACTTGCATGCCTTGGGACGGGGCGCTCACTCCTTGCCTTGGGGAGAGCTCTGCTGAGACTTCCCATCCCTTGCTCCCCTGGCATGCCTGCCTCCCTCCAAGCCCTGCACCCCAACATTCTGCCCCCTCTGAGACCTCTGTCCACCAGGAGTCTCATCTCTCCATCTGACCCTGGGCGTGTCCTTGTCTGTTTCTTTTTCCCGCTCTTTGTGTATGTGTCTGCCTGTCTTCGGGTCTCTTCTCTCTCTCTCCCCATCTGTTGTCTCGTTTCTGTCTCTCTCTCTGCCTCTGCCAGTCTCTCTGCACCAGCCCCTGCCCCGAGGCCATCAGAAACACCCCGGCCCCCCTTCCTGAAGATCCTTAAGCTCCCACCCACCCAAACTCCTCCCCTCTGCCCCAGCCCTGCCTCCTGCCCCAACCTTGTGGTTGTCACTGGCTTCCTGGGGGACCTGGAGGTGCCAGGAGCTCCAGGGCCCTCAAGGGGGAGGGGGCGGCCGGGGCAAGGGCTGAGAGGCAGGACCGGGACTCTTCCACAGGCTCCGATGGGAGCTGGGGCAGACAGACCATGGGAAGTGTCTGCCCCGCTGGGGCCCAAGGGAGCCATGGGTGGATTTGGAGCTGAGGGCAAGAGTTTGACGTTTTAGCACTTATTTATTTTTTTCTTTTGAGATGGGGTCTCACTTGAGGTGGGGCAGGGAGGGGGTCCGGGACAGGGAGGAGTGCCTAGGGCAGGGAGGGGTGCCCCCGCGGCTACTCACCGAAACACTTGCTCTGGTTGGTAGCTCGATCCATAAACACCTTGGAGGAGATGATATTGCCGAAGGGCAGGAACATCTGCGTCAGCTCCGTGTCTCCAAACTCCTGGGGGAGGTGGTAGATAAACAGGTTACAGCCTTCGGGACCTGCAGGTGGGGGAGAGAAAGACATAAAGCCCCCAAGGAGAGGAGGCGGACCCCCTGAGGGAGGGGAGCGGGTCTGGAGCCCACATCTGTCCTCTCCAGCTGTCGGGAGAGGGGTGCCCCGAGACACCCAGAAAGAAGGGGCATGGGCGGGGGAGGGGAGGCAGGTGCACCCGTCCCTTGCCTGTGTGACATAATCCCATGCTCGGGGACAACAAACCCCTCGTAATCCTCAGACTACAGATCATTCACCAAAATCAGATTATCCCATCCCCCCACCCACAGCCCAGCTACATCCCCAATCCCAGACCCCAGAGAATCCAACCCCACCCCGGAAAATCCACCCCTAAACCTCGCACTTCAGATCACCGACAAAAGTCAGGGGAGTGGGGAGTGGGGAACACAGAAACCTGGTAGTATCTCTGCAGTCATTCTGTCCCAAACTGTTCTAAAATAAAACCGTCATTTAAAGAAAGCCCAATGACCATAGACTAAAATTTAAAAAAAAAATAATTCTCCCATCCCAAATCGCAGATAGGGATAATCCTCCAAACCTTGGATCATTCTCAAAACTCAGATGATGCAAATATAAAATCAGGTAAAATAAAAAGATAATTCTCCAATCCCAAAGCCCAGATATCGTAAAACCACAGATAATTCAACAACGATATATATACCAACAAGAAATAATTTTTTTAAAAAAGGGATACATAATCCTCTAAACCGTCCCCTCCCCAAATAATCCCTGATGCATGGCTAATATAGAAACTATAAACAGTTATAGTGTTTTGAAACCTTGATTATCCGAAGCCGTAAACAGGTCCCCCAAATCTACTGCTGATCCCAAATTTAAACATGACTTTGTCCCATGTCTGCCCCAGACAAGGGTAATTGCCTCTCTCCCGGGCCATGGATATCCCCCACTCAAGAAAATACAAAAGCCGCCACTCCACACTCACACCTGCCCCTTACCTTCCTAATTAGGGCCGAGGATCTGCTATGACGCTTGTTTTTTTAACAGCAAGTTTATACCAATTTTGAACATATCTTGAGCAGAACCCAAACTCCGCATTTGCTTCCGTTTCCATCCCCTCCACCCCCCCAATACACTCGGTGAATGCAGAAAACCACATCGGATGAGCTGAACCTCGCGAGAAGACACGAACTGCACGCACACACCTGGAACGTGTACCCCCGTGTGCTACGAGCTGCCCCCTTCCTTGGCTTGAGTCACGACTCCCCATGTGATTTCAGACCACACACTGCTGCCGCCACTGCGTAGTGGCTCACACGTGGCAACCCCTTAGCGGCCATTTCCACGCGCAAACTCCAGGTCTTTTCCAAGACAAAGCACTGTATTTACTGTAATATTCACGTACTTCTTAACTACGTAACATGCATGAATGTGTGCTACCATTTCTACTAGGTTCCTGCCCTTGACTCTCTTTCCCCCAGGAGCCTGCAGTTTGGATTTCCAGGCGTTGCACACAGCGGTGATTTGAGGGGAACACACGTGTAGCGTTTTAGCAGCACTGGCTGTACCTGAACCAGCTTTTAGCCCCTCACTCCGGATTGAGGGTGGAGCTGGAGAAGGGGTTAGAAGGAGGGGACCCAGGTCTAGGTCATCCAATAAAGCAGCGACTTTAGGTGGCTTGAACCCTCCCTGAAGCCCCTGCTGGTGACACCCTGCGGTAAGGGGGTTCATGGGGTGCAGTGGTGGTCGTGAGAAATGCCTGACATATCTGGAGCGGCTGGAATGTCCCATCTTATCTGAACACATGTGTTGCTGCTAGTGGTGGCTTTAACGACAGAGCCTCCAGAGGACACGCTAGCTGACCATTGATAGGAAAGCGGCTGGTGGCACCTCCAGGGACCCTCAGCCTAGGGCTTGTTTTTAAACTCAGCTCCTGCACCCTGGCAGTGTCCACACCCCCACCATCACCACCAATAATCCACAAGGGAAAAATTGGGCAGAGCTTCGCAGAACTCGGTCCACCGGCCAGGCCGCAAGCCAAGCATGCCTTGTCGTGGCATGGTCTGGGGGCTTTTCTGGCTGCTCCCTGGACCCACCCGTCTCTGCCCCCACTAGACGGATGAAAGAGAGGAAGGGACCCCCGGGTGCAGAGCACCTACTACATGTCAGAAACCAGCCATTGCTCACTTGCAGTGACACCTCCTGGCACAAATGGGCGCCTGAGTTGCAGATGAGGAAACTGAGGCAGAGGCAGTTAGGTGCTTTCCTTATGATGTCGTAAGTGTCAGAACTGGGTGCATCTGGACCCCAGTTTTCCGACTCCAGAATCTAGCCCCTTCCCCCTCCCTCCCTCCCTGGACAGCCTTGGCCTTACTGGGGAGACGTCAGTTTACCTGGGATTCCTCAACCTCAAAACTCCAGAGAGTCACTTGGCTCTGGGGGGCCAGTAGGAGGCCACCGCTATTCCCACAGGGTCGAGCAGGGCACGGCTCCCACTGGATGGAGGAAACTGAGGCCCAGAGAGGAGACTGCGCTGCCCGAGAACACCCGAGAGGGAGTGGCTGCACCGGGACTCGAACCCAGGTTCGCCGGTTCCCCAGCTGCGCGCTCAGCCCTGCAGGTCGCGAGCCCTGGCCAGCCCAGGCCTGCAGGTGCGGGGGCGCCCGGGGGAGGTCGCGGCCGCCTCACCTTCTCGCTGCTGCTGCTGGAGGAGGGGCGGCGGCTGGGGGACGCTGTGCGCGATAGGCGTGATGGCTGCAGTGGGGTACATGGCTGCGGAGACCGAGCGAGACAGGGCGGAGGCGGCGTGAGGCCAGGTGGGCGCGGGCGCGGGCGCGGCCGGGCGGGGCGGGCCAAGCCCGCAGGGAAGAGGAGAGGGTGGGGCCAAGGTTCGAGGGGCGGAGCCACAGAGGAGGGCGGGGCCAGGGCCGCAGTGAAGAGTAGGGTGGGGCGGGGCCATGGCTTGAGGGGCGGGGACGCAGAGGAGGGCGGGGCCAAGGCCGCAAGAAAGGAGGAGTGGGGCGTGGCCATGGCTTCAGGGGCGGGGATGTAGAACTGGGGCGGAGCCACACCAGAGGGTGGGTCCAGAACTGCGTGAAAGTTAGGGGTGGGGTGTGGCCATGGCTTGAGGGGCGGAGCCACAGCGGAGGGGAAGGGCCACAGCCAGGCCCTAGGAAGGAGGGCGGAGTGGGGGCGGGGTGGTGGCAGAGACGTGGTCAGATTAAGGCAGAACGTGAGGGGTGGGACCAGAATCTGAAGGATGGAGGCAGGAAGGTGGGGCCAAGAGCTGGGATTGGGCGGGGCCAGAGGTGTGAGAAAGGGGACCACACCCAGTAGAGAGCATGAGAGGGTAGCGTCAGGGTCAAGAGCAGGCCTCAGGGAAGGTGCTGGTGGCAGGGGCGGAGCTAGGAACAGGGCCGGGGGTTGAACATGGCACAAGGGGCTGAGGGTGGGGCCCTGAGGGGTGGGACAAGAGGTAGGAGGCGTGGCCAGGCAAGGAAGGAAGCCACGGTGGGCGGGGCTGAGCGTGGGAGGGGCGGGGCCAGCAAGGAAGGAAGGCATGGTGGGCGTGGCCTGGAGGGACAGGGACAGGGCAGGGCGGGGCGCGGGAGGGCGGGGCCGCCTCCCTACCTGTGTACTGCTGGACTCCGGAGAAGGCAGGATGGAGCGTCTCGGCCACGGTGGGGCTCTGAGCTGCGGGGCAGACGGAGGGGCTGAGTGGGGTAGGGGCAGCAGAAGTCCTCCATCCACCCCGCTCCTTAAGAGCCGGGAGGGGAGCAAAAACACCCACCCCAGCTTCACCTCTGTGCTAAACCCTTTATAGGTACGGCCCCCATTTTACAGGCGGGGAAACTGAGGCCGAGAGAGGTGAAGCCACTGGCACAGGGGCACTCAGATAGGAAATCTCTCTCTGTCCTGACCCCTTTGCCTCCCAGGAAACCCTCCCTCCTCCCTTCATTCTCTGGGTTCACCAGGTCTTCAGCCTCTGCCGGAATCACCACCCCTACCCCCTGTCCTGTCTCCCTCACCACGTCAGTTTGCTCATCGGACACCCTGTGGATCCCCCATCGAGCTGTGACCTTCCAGCTGCCACTAGGGGAAGAGGTAAGGGGACAGAAGAGGTTGTCCAGGCCACCAAAGCTGATGGAAAAATTCAGCCCCAAAAATTCTGCTCGAATGCAGAGATCTCGGCTGTGGAGGACAGGGGTTTGCGGTGGTGGCTGTGTACAGGGGAGGCAGGAAGGGGTTACTTTGTGCAGATGGGGCAGCTCTGTATCTTGGCTGTGGTGGTCACACGAATCTATATCGGTGACGAAATAGAGAAACACATCTACACACACATGTGCATGTAAAAGCGGTGAGATCCAAATAAGGCCTGGACTGAGTTAACTGTACCTCACCAATGTTGCTTTCCTGGCTTTGACACCGTGCCAGGGTCAGGGAAGCTGTTGGCAGCCCGGGGAAGCTGAGTGCAGAAGGGTACAAGGGACTGTTCTGGACTCACTTTCTAATTCCTTGTGAGCCTCCAATCATTTCAAAATAAAAAGTTAAAAACAAATTCTCTTCCGTGGTGGAACTACACACGACTTACTTTGCATAAATAAGTAATGTGTTGGAAAATGTTGGCCCTAAACTCGTGGGTGTAGGGTAGAGAAATGTGGGACCCCCACTTCGTGAAAACAGTTACAGCCCAGATCAGTGTGTGGGCAATATGTATTGAATGAATGAATGAATGAATGAATGAATACAGGTAGTGATAGCTTTCCAAATGGTAATGATTAATGACTAAGATTTATACTTCCGTTCCTTGTACCAGGTGATGAGCTACGCACTGTACATACTGATTTAATGATCAGTGCAACCTCACGAGGTGACTGATGTTATTCGCCCATTTCCCAGATGAGCATACTGAGGCTCAGAGACTTAAAGAACCCATCCAGAGGCACAGAACTGGAATGTGAACATGGAAACATCTGGATACACAGTTTCTGTGTCCAGCCACCCTGCCGCAGGCTCCGCTCCTGTGCTGACAGCTCATATCTGCTCAGCCGAGGTTCCCTCTGTCCTGCATGTACATTCCAGAAGCACCATCCCTACCCCCTGCCACTCTCCTAGGACCCAGGGGACCACCCTGAGTTACCTGGGTAGGGCACAAGGCCATTGGCATATACGGTTTCCAAAGCAGGGTGACCGCCAGGGAAGGGCACAACCCCTGCAAAGCCATTGGTGATGGGAGCCACGAGGCCGGGCACGGCGGCAGTGCCCAGCAGCGGGGGTGAGTGCAGCCCTGTGGAGTGAGAGAGGGTCACGGGAAGCCTGGCTCTGGCCTGGCCCTGCCCACCCATCCAGGGACCCCTGGCAGACTCTCACCAGAGGCAGGAGCGATGGGTGTGGCAGGCAGCCCATTAAGGCTGACGGCGCCGATCTGTTGGATGTGGCAGGGTGAGAAGGCCACGCCAGGGCTCAGGTAGCTGCCCGAGGTGGACAGGACTGTTGTCTGCTGTTGCATGAGCTGGGGGTGGAAAGGGAGTCAGTGGGCACAGCTAGGGTGACACTTGCCCTGAGATCATGGCTCATAAAGGGAGGCTTGGTCCTCCAGGAACTAGGGGGGGGGAAGTCAGGCTGGGATCAGGGCTCGCCTGGCATCTAGGCTCAGCCTGGGATCAAGGCTCAGCCTGTGATATAGGCTCAGCCTGGGATCAAGGCTCAGTCTAGTACGAGAGTTCAGCCAGGGTTGAGCTTGGCCAGGTCGGGTCTGGGTTTGGGGTCAGCCTGGATTTGGAGGTTCAGCCAGAATTGGGCCTATTCTAGATTTGGGGCACAGCCAGGCTCTGGGGCTCAGTCCAAGGCTGGGTCGTCATTTAATAAGTATTAGGGTTCAGTCTAGGGTCAGGGCTCGGCTTGGATTTAGGGGCTTTGTCTGAGTTTGGGGTTCAGCCAGGCCAGGAGAGGACCCTGTATCAGGGGGACCAAGGGAGAGACAGGAGTGTGGGCAAGGGGCAGAAGCTCTCAGCAGGGAGTAGATCGGAAGGGAGAGACTGGGCCATCTTGGAAGCCGCCTGCAGGGCACTCACAGCCTGGGCGTAGGCGCTGTAGGGGCTGAAGGGCAGCGTGAGGGACGGCGTCAGGATGCCCAGCTGGCCCACCATCTGCTGCATGCGCCGGAGTGTCCGCTCCTTGTCCGTGTCGGCAAACTTGACCACCAGGCTGGAGGAGGCTCCCTGCAGGGGCAGCCGTGGGCGGGGAGGGAAAGAGAGGTGGGAGGTAGCCCGGACTCTGGGGTCTCTGGAATCACGTCAGCTCAGGCCCCCTGGGCTGCCAGCCATGTCCACGGGACCCCAGCCACAGGAGCTGGGGGCCACAGCAAGAAGCGCGCGGGGATCGGCAGCTTCTGCACAGGCGCGGCGTCACAGGTGTAGCACCGAAGGCTGGGGGGCTGTGTCTGGGGCACACACAGGGGCAGGCCCCGGCCATGAGCAGCCCGCTCACAAGACAGGTGGAGAATGCAGCCGCTGGAGGGAACAGTGGGGCCACGGATGGAGGACCCTCTGTCGCGCCACACCTGGGGAACAGGTGAGGCTCCAGGCACCAGAGAGGAATAACGGTCCTGTGCCTGTTTGTGCCCCGCACAGGTGGACGAACCTGCAACTCGCCCACCCCGTGGAGAGCAGAGGCAGCCACCAGCTGGGGGAGGATGCCCTGCTTTACTGCAGCACAGACAGAAACCCAGGTGACTGTCACCCCCACACCTAATGACAGCTGGAAGACAACTGTGGGACAGGCACCGCAGGGCAGAGCTGAAATACAGACATCAGCGCCAACAGGCAGCCATGGGTGGCCGTCGGCAACAGGCTGTGCTGTCGGCGTCACAGAGGCCTGGGGTCACCCGCACCCCCACAAGGCGTGCAGTGACGTGCAGTGACGATGGCCCCAGGGCCTCGTTCCTTGGGGGCAGGGCCATGCACTGTGTCTCCTTGGTCCTCCCAGCCTCTCACTGTTGCAGATGCCTGGGACCTGTCCCGTACTGTCGCCACCCAGCCAGGGGGTGAAGCGGACCGTCGGCTCTCACCTCGTGGCCTCATTTCAGACCGACGCTCCTCCCATCCGCCGAGCCCTAGCTCAGGCCTCGACTTCCCTGCCTGGGCCTCCCAGCATCCCTCGGGTGTACACACACACACTCAAGCTCGACACCCACACCCACACGGACCTGCATACACTCACAAACGTGCACACACGCACTCACCTATGCATGCTGACACACACGCACATGCACACGTGTTCACACACACACACATGCACATGTGCCCTTGCACATGGCTGCAGACGCACACACACACACCCGCTGCCCAGGCGTACTCTCACACACACACACGCACGCACATGTATAAATACGCATGAGCACTCGCCTGCACACACACTGGCACTGGTCCATATCCACGGGCACACGGCCCTCCCATGACACTCACCTACTGACACGCGCACAGCACGCACACTCACGCACTTGCAGTACCTCCCCACGCTCGCACACTCTGCTCGCACGCTCACCTCTGCACACACTCGTACGCGTGTGGCCTTGCCAGGGGCTGGGCCTCCTTCTCCGCCTGTGCCCGCCGTGAGAAAGCATGGGGGCTCTTGGGCATGGGCTGTGGCAAGGACAGGACCTGTTTCCGCCCTGGCCCCTCCACCGTGACCGCGGGCAGCGCCTACTCACCGGCATGGTCTGGCTGCCGTGCAGCGCATGGATGGCCGCCTGCGCCTCCGTGTGGGACGAGAACTTCACGAAGGCACAGCCTGCTCCAAGAGAAGAGGTGGGGAGTGAAGGGGTCCCAGGACTGGGCGGGCAGGGCCCACGGGGGAGGGGACAGGGAGCCCTGGATGCTCGGTCGGTGTCAGACAACGGAAAGACAGCCGGCCGTTTGTTCAGACAGACAGCCAGTTGACACCCAACAGACCAAGGGTCAGACGGGGGACAGTCGCACAGACAGACAGCCATGGAGTTAGACAAACAGCTGGTAATTCACATGGCCAGCCCACCAGCCATTCATTCATTCATTCATCCAACCAGAAAGCCACCCAGCCAGCCAGTCATTCATTCATTCAACCAGAAAGCCACCCAGCCAGCGGGCCAGATTGCCATTCACAGCCGATGAGAGAGTGTGTTAAGCACACAGCCAGATGCTCGGTGTGATGCTGCGTCGTCAGGGAGGAAGTCCTCCCCATCGGAACAAGTGAGGGGGACAGAAACCACCACCTGTCGCAACCCTGCAAGGTCCAGATAGTCACGATGAGACATGCCGAGTTTATAGGGCAGATCATGGGACATGCCGTCCTGGGGGCAGTCTGGCACAGGCACACCCAGGCCCAGACAGACAGACCCACATGACCACAGTCAGACAGGTGGACATCATAACCCACTAGGCCAGGGCAGCCCCAGCCAGACAACCAGAGACCACCAGAGACAGGCAGAGTCAGACAGTCACGTGGACAAAGTCCACGGAACAGGCAAGGCCACCAGATGTAGCTCCAGACAGAGAGAGTGCTACGGAAGATCTGGGCACATAGAGACCACCGGACACATTCAGTTCCACGAGGGTAAGACAGGGCAGAGACAGGCAAACAGGGGTCAGTCCCACATGACGAATGCGAGTAGGGACTCAGGTAGATGGAGACCAGGCACACGGAGACCCAGACACCGTCATCCAGACACTCAGGCCAGAGATAGTCAGAGACAGATAGACTCAGGCAGACCCAGGTGGAAGCAGCTCTGTGGACAGTCAGGTGGACAAATCAAAGACCAAGGGACACAGGTAGCCACAAACGGAGACAGAGCGCACAGGTAGGAGCAGGTGGGACCAGTCTCTGCCCTGCCCCCAGCTAGCCCCGCCCCTGGGAACTGGCCCCGCCCCCACAAGCCCCACCCCATGGGCCTGGCCCCTCCCCACAGGTCCAGCTCCACCCATAAGCGCCGCCCCTTTGAAGAGCCACGCCCCCTGCATCCCCAACCACAGGCACTGCCCCTAGATCAGCCCTGCCCATCCCCACAGGCCCCACCCCCAGAGCCAACCCCTCCCCTTTCCAAGGCTCCACCCCAGAGTAGCCCCGCCCACATCTCCTTCCCTCCCCAAGGTCCCACCTTCCCCGCAGGCTCCGCCCCCGGCCATCACCTTTGCTGCTGCCATCGGGTCCCCGGAGCACGGTGCACTCGTCGATGACCCCAAAGGGCTGGAACAGCCGCAGCACATCCTCCTCCGACTGCTGCTTGTTCAGCATCCCCACGAACAGCTTCCGGTCCCCTGTGGGCGGGGACACCCACCTCAGCCGAGCCCCACGGAGGGGGAGGCAGGCGGACCCGGAAGGACCCGGCCACACCCTGGCCCTGTGCGGGCCTCTGCACCCTCCCACGTGCCTTACACTGTAGTCTCCCGCCTGCCCTCCCTTCAGTCCTGCTCCGCTGCTCCCACCTCTGGCACAGGTGACCTCCGGTACACCCTGAGAGCCCACACATCGCCCCAGGGTTAGGAACTGCCTGGCTGGGCTGGGTCCCTGTCTGTCTGGATCCCTGGGTCCCTCTGGCTCTGCCAGGCAGGGGTGTGCACCGATGGTCTCTGCATCCCCGCGGCAGAGGCCCCTGCCCCGCCTTGCTGGGGCTCAGGGGCAGCCAGACAGTCAACACCTGTCCAATGGCGTGAGAGCACCTGTGCCCATAGGACCAGGTGCCTGGGCAGCCTGGAGCCCCCACCTGATGGGGCTGAGGGGGACTTGCCCAGGTCTGAGGCCGGGGCTGGGCCAGCCTCTCCCGTGCGAGGCACCACACTCTCGGGTGACTGCACTGCTCGGTAATGGGGGACGTGTCAGCTTCATCTCCCACGAATGGGGAGCCAGGTTACCATGGAAACCACTCTCCGGCAGCTGTCACTCATGGGGGTGAGAGAGATGGATGGGAAAGAGGGACGGGGAGGCACGGAAAGAGAGAATAAGAGAGAGAGATGCAGAGAGATAGGAGAGAAAAAGGAGAGAGAAACAGAGATACCCAGGGAGATGGAGAGAGAGACACACAGAATAAAGAGACAAAGATGGAGACACACAGACCCCACCTCTCTCCTGCCTGTCCCACACAGCCAGGGTGGAGAATGTGAAAGTGTCTCCCAGCCCAGAGGGGCTTTACCCAGCTCCTACACATACGCAGGGGTCCTAACAGCCCTGCTCACATCTTTCCTCAGCCAAGGCTGGCTGCTCCCCTCCAGCCAAGAGAGGGAGGAGATGTCCAAGAAGAAGAATGACCAGCCTTGGATCCCCCTGGGAACACCTGAGCATCACCCCTCAATGGGTACACCTCCACACTGAGGTCCAGCCCCACGCAGACACCTGCCACCCCAACCCACACATCCGCCCACATGCCTAGCCTCCGACGGTCAAGCACACATGTGCAAACATACACATCCAGGTGCCGGCCAGGCACATGGATGTGCACACAGGCTGGAAGGCGCCCCCAATGCACACTGCACATGCGTGCTCGTGTGCACCAGCTGCAGAAACATGAATGCCCGCGTGCACATACATACTCACACATATCTGCACGCAGGCATGCCCAGCTGTGAACACTCACATGCACAAACATGCACACAGGAATGCATGAACACATTTGCACACACGGAGACCCCCGAGAGCAGTCCACAGTCCTACAGGGACCCCATCCTCTCTGCCTCTGAAGACCTCCAACTATGGCACCCTGAAAGGAGTGGGGTGTTTCGAACACTGGGGAAGGCAGCTGGGCCTGTGGACACAGCCCTGCTTGCTGCCCTGCTCCTACCCATGCCGGGGACCCCTGCCTCTCCCGCCACCATGAGGTCTGTGAGCAGGCACGCAACTGCTGCATGCTTTGGGCCGGGTGCAGATCCACAGGCCTGGGCCACTGTCCCTTTGAGGGTGAGAGGCAGAAGGGATCTCCCTCCTTCCCCCATTCCTCTGCCAACCCCCAGCCTGGCAGCCACGGAGAGATGACAACTACCTCCGCGGCTTTCGCTGTCCGCAGGCTTCACCTGGATTGGCCGCGCCATCTGCGGAGAGAGAGGGGAGGGGGAAGTCAAGGCCGGCGGTGGGAGTGTCCCGCCTCAGCACCCCACCACCCCACTAACCACCCCAGTCAAACCAAATGGCATTGCAGTCCCACCTACGGGGTGGGAACTGCCTGGAAAACTCTTAGTTAGCCCTCAAAACCCCAAAAATAATATCCCTTCCTCCAGGAAGAGCCTCCTTGCCTCCCCAAATGTGATAAATTGTTTGCAAAGGTGGCCCCATTCCTATATGTGATGCACACTGCAGTTTCTTCCATCAAGAACTGGAGTCTACTTCCCCATCCCTAGCATCTGGACTTGAATATGTGACTTGCTGTGACCAAGAGAATATGGTGGAAGTTAAGTTGTGGGAGTTCTAAACCTAGGCCTCAAGAGACCGTGTGGCTTCCATTCTTGACCTCTTGGAACCCTGAGATTGTCAGGTGGACAAACTGCTGGAAAGCGGGGGACCTTACGGAGAGAGCGGTCCCACTGACAGACAGCACCTGGGAGTGAGGCCGTCCTGGCCCAGCTGGGCCCAGTCAAGTCTCAACTGACTGCAGCTGCACAAATGGCCTCAGGAGAGGCCTGCGGAAGAGCCGCCCAGCTGAGCCCAGGCAGAGCTCGTTGACCCACAGAACCATGAACAAGTAAAATGGTCGGGATGGTTTGTTACTCAGCAATAGCTGACTGATACACCAAGGTAGCTACTTTTAGCCAGTTCCTAAGAGTTTTGGGTGTGGGGACTGTCACACCTGAGTGGACCAGCCTGCCATCTGGATTCATTTTCTGTCCTCAACCCCAGGCACTGAAAATGATATTCAATGGAAGAAATCCTCACTACCCCAACTTCTCACAATATATCCAGTCCTGAATATGGGCTAATTTGGATATTTGAGAACCGACTTGAGGGATGTGAGAGTTGGGGAGGCATTTGCTTCCTCACTGTCCTGGGACAGAATCCTCCCAAACTGATATCGCTGGCGAACTCCTACTCATCCTTCAAAACCCAACTCAAAAGCCCTCATGAAAGTACTCTTCCCACCCCTCAAGGCTCCTTTCTCCCTCTGTCTCAGGGCTGGAAGGGTCTACGTCTTGCTCTGTCTCCCTCCAGACTGGCCACTGCAACATCACCCCACACAGGGTAGAGGAACCTACTGAACAGAATGAGCTAGAAGGAAGGAAATGGCTGACTTCCACAAATATAGAAAAGCACCTGGAATTGCAACCAGGGTTGGTCTCAGACCCTTTCCCAGCCCAGACAATCTCAAAATGGGTCCCCAGGCCCACTGAGCCCCCTGGCTGTGCACTGCCCTTTCTACAGTTCTGACTTTTGAAGCCTGGCACAGAGATGGCACCTGATAAATGTCAGGTTTTCTCATCCCAGCACAGCTGCCTAAGAAACTTCACAGACAGATGCCGTTTTCACCCCATTTTACAGATGTCAAAATCAATGCTGAGAGAGAAGTTATTTGTGTAAGGTCACGGCAGGTGAAGCCCTCTAGGACTCCAGATTCAGTGATCTCTCCCCACTCGTCCCCCCAGGGAGGGCCTCCTCCCCATCTCTGAACTTCCAAAGTCCCCTCCCCTCTGAATTCCTTCCCCTGTGACCTGACCCCAGCTCCACGCACCCTTCCTCCCTGACCCCTCCCTCATTCTTCACCCCCTTCCTTAGCGCTGATTTCCCTCCCCCTCTCTGAGCCCCTCCCCCTTCGGAGGCCTTTTCCCCTCCCCGGCCCCCTCCCCAGTCCCCTCCCCGTTTCTGACTCTGCGTTCCAGGCGCCAGAGAGGCCCTGCCTGCCTGATCCAGTGTTCCCAGTTCTCCCAGCCCAACTTCCTGCCACCCGGCCACACCCTCAGAGGGACCCTGACCACCCGGGAAAAGGCGAACCCACGCCTCCCTTCCCCCACCCAGTCTGCCGGATCGCCCCCTCCCCAGCACGAGCGCGCGCGCGCGCACACACACACACACACACACACACACACACAGCCCGGCCCTTCCACCTGGGTACCACACCCTGCGAGCTGGAGGAGGCAGGAGGGGAGACGGTTTCAACCAGATGGGACCAGCTTGTGGGCTGGGGACAGACTGGGGGTGTTGGGGGAGAGGGGGGACCACCTGAGCTCCAGCCTCCTGTTCCCCACACCCCTCCCACCCCGCCTCCGCTGGCCCTCACCTCCTCCCCCCTCCCAGCACCTTGGGCAGATGAGGATGGGGTTGCCATGGCAACGCTGATTCACCACACGGAAGCTGGCAATTGTTGTTGCCATGGAAACCGCCTCTTAGGGGCGAGCCCAGCTCCTGCCTTGCACAAAAGAGATATTTAAATATAATCTTCTGGCGATGGATGAGCCGAAGGAGGGAGGCAGGGAGGGAGGGGCGGCCGCGGGGAGGGAATCTGCCCCCCATCTCCGAGCCCTCCACCCCCCCACCCCATCCTGGGGCCTCGGGGTGCCGGCTCCCCACCTCCCCCGCCTGCTGCGAGGTCCCCTCCCCCTCCGGGGTCAGCTGGGCGGCGGGGAGGAGGGGGCGTCCCGGTCTGGTCCAGCGCAGAGAGGCCGGGCACGCAGCCCCCTCCTCCCCGGGCCCCGGCTCCAGCGCTGAGCTCGGCCCGGCCGTGCCCACCCCGCGGCCCGGCGCCCGCCTTACCCGCCGGCCTGGAGTCGCGCGCCAGGCTGGCATCCACGTGCCGCCGCCCGGCCGCCCGGGCGCACAGCGCGCACACGCCGCACGCGCGCTCCCCGCGCCCCGCGCCCGCCAGGCCCTGCCCGCGCTGCCCGCCAGCCGGGAGGAGGCGTGCCAGGCGGGGATCTGGGTCTCCCCGCACCCCACCCCTCCTGTCGCCCCTGCCCGCCCAGCTGGCTCTGCCCACCTCCTTCCGCTCCCTCTCTCCATCTGTCCCACCAAGGTCTCTGCTGAGTGCCCTCCTCCCTCCTCCACCTTCTCTGGCTCCCCATTGCTGCCTCTCCTGCCTGCCCCCTCCCTCCCTCCCTCTTTTCAATAATCAACAGCACTCCCGGTGCACCCCCTGCTACCCCAGGAAGAACACCTCCCCCCACTGGTCTGGACGGGGAGACAGAACCAGAGTCAGACCCTCTCATGGGACTGGGGTGCAAGGAGCAATCAGGACTGGAACAGAGGACAGCAAAGAGCCAAAGGCTATCCTAGGGCTGCACCAACCAAAGACGGAAAATCTGCAGTGGGTTTTCCAGTAGGCGTAGGAGTGTGGGGAGGGCGGGAACAATTTCTCACGGTGAAGCAATACCTACATCTGCTGACCCATTTAATGTCCAAACAACTTTGTGAGATAGAGAAACATTCACTCCCATTTTACAGATGAGCAAACCAAGGCCAGAAAGAAGGGAGAGGAGAGGTCCCCTGAGGACCCAGCCATCCCTCCAGCTGAGGGATGCTGTGGGCTGGGGGGAGTCTTGGGACTTTGGGGTGTGGGTGGGCATGCACAAGGTGGCTGAGATACAGTCCCTCCTCTGCCCCCAACTTGCTGGGTGACTCCCGCCAAGCCGCACACCATTGGAAAAGCAGGGTCCTTTATGTCTGACTTGTGTGTGTTAGGAATGGGGAACTGAAGCTCCAAGGGCCAGGCCAGGATTCTCGTGGATTTGCAAAGTTGTGCCTTTGGACGATTGGGGTCCAGAGGAGGCCCGGAATGGGTTGTTTCTAGGAGGCGTGGAAAGGGAGGAAACAGGTGGACCCCCCTCTAAGCTGCCTCAGCCACAATTCCATCTTCCTCCCTTCCTTCCTGTGTCCTGCCCAGCCTCTGTCAAACACCCCAACCAAGCCCCTCCCCTGCTCTAAATGCAGCTATAGCTCCCTACTGCCCTTGGGGTAGAGTGCCAGCTCCCCATCCTGGCATTTGAGGCCCTTGTGCTGCTCAGTCCCTGTCATTCCTCCCCCTGCCTCCTGCCACACCGCCTCAAACACTGCCTGTGAACTCGCCGGGCTAGAATGCACCCCCTTGCACCCCATCCTCACCCCTCGAATGCCACCTCCTCCCTGAAGCCTTCCCGTCACCATCCATCTGCTTTGGCTGCTCTGTCCACAGACGTCACCTCGATCTCAAGCCCTCCTCCCCTGACACACACGCTGCCCCTTATCTGGGCGAGTCAGCTCCCGGGAGCCGGGGCCGAGGGACGCAGGGCTCTGCAACCCCCCTGTCCCCGCCAAGAGAGCCCAGCACAGGGCCCACAAGTGAGAACGGAAGTGACACGGGACAAGACCTGCGGTTTCCAGACCAGTGAAATTCAGGCGCTTTGCCCACGGGCCGGGAGCGTGTTGAGCAAGAGCAGGAGCTGGAGGCGCCTCCCCGACCGCCCTGGACATGGATACCCCCATCTCCAGGAACCCGCGGCTCAGGCTCCAGGGCTGGGAGAAGGTGGCGTCCCGGGGCGTGACAGCCGGGCAGTCAGCCTGGATCCCAGGGTCCCCCAGTCCCTTCCAGGTTCTATTCTGGGACTCCGTTATTCAATTTAGGATGCTGTTCCAGAATGCTGAGATTTGATTAAACTACATCCCCCACGGACGCTGCTGTCACACCACGCAGGGAACCGGAAAAGGGGCATTCTGTTGACTAGGGGGGAAGGGAGGGGGAGGCTTAGCTGTGCCGGGAGGGGGGAGGGGACCGCAGAGGTGGCAAATGACCTGGGTCACTCCACTCCTGGTTTGCAGAGATAGACAGACATCTCCCTCCAACACACACACACACACACACACACACACACACACACACACACACACACGCATGCATGGTTGGGTTTTTGTTATTTGCAGGGGGAGGCAGGGTGAAGGAGAGATGGTGGCTGCTGCCTTGGTGTCTTGCACGCCCAGACACGCGACACGCGGGCTGTGCGTGTGCAGGCGTGTGCGGGCACGTGAGCCGGCTGGGTGGGCTTTTCCAGCACGGGGCACGCCTCGTGCTCTAGCTCCCAGCGCGGAGAAGCCTTCAGGGGAGGCTCAGGCGAGCGTGCTCAGAGCCCCCAGCGCC